GGAAGATCTTTTTTGTGCTTCTTTGTAAGTTGTTATTAATTTGGAAATTTGTACTTAACTAGCACGGAGAGGTTGCAACTCGTGCCTTTCCTTGGGGACTTTGTACTATTGTCTATTGCTGATTAATAAAATTATTTCAATTATCAAAAAAAAAAAACACTAGCAAGCAAGAAAGACATGTTTGCTTAAATGGTATCCACTTCATTTTATATGTTAAAATTCCGAAGCTATTCAAAATGTCGTGGCATTTGAGTAAATACCTCAAGATTCCGCATATCTAAAACACCCATGCGCTCCATGATATCATATAGCCTCCCAGGTGTGCCTATCAACAAATTTGCTCCTTCCTCCACTATTTTCTTCATGTCCGCCTTTATATCTAAACCCCCCACAAGAAGCATAGGCTTAACATTCACTAATGTCGAAATGAAAGGCTCTGCAACATGATATATTTGTGATGACAACTCTCTTGTAGGAGAAATAATTACCCCCATGACCTGTGGTTAATGCAGATCATTTACCAATGAGAACTACAATTAACCACATACAAGCACTAGGTTACCACAATACCACATTCATAACCATAACAGTATTTTTCAAATAAAAAGAATAGATATCCCAATAAAAATGCTTATCATGCAGTATGTCTATCATAACTTTATATGATTAAGGTTAAAAAAGAAAGCAAACCAGTGACAGCCAAATTAACTTCCAATTATTCTACTTTATAGTTCCTGTATGTCACTTGGTTAAATTTACCGAGAGGTGTAATTTCAGTTTGGGAATACTGAACAGGTACTTTTACACTTAGAATTACCCAGTAAATTGAGCATGCATGCATTCATTCTTATGAAACTACCATTCTTTCAATGGATATCACGTAGGAGAACCCCTAGGCTGATCATCAGAATAGATAGTACAAATTCCCCTCTAAGATTCTTCATAATATTATAGATCTGGACATCCTAGAATATGCAATAACCAACAGGTTTGCAGGTTTTAATTATCACATTAGCAGATTTTAAGGGTGGATGATATCTTGGATGGCAAATTAGCTATCTGGCATCCATGCATTGGATAAATCAAATTGAAGAACACATGACCAGAAGCAATTTCAAGCGCATTACTGGAACTAGAATCATACCACTGTTTCCCTTCGATCAAATATGATTGAACCCAAACAGCTATTGTAAATAAATTATAGCATATCCCCAAATACAAGAGTTTTTATTTTCAAATACAAGAAGAGTTGAAGCTGGGGGTAAGCCGGTAAACAGACATATCAAAGGAGCACGATATTGTAGTGAAACTAGCCAAATGCGCTTATTGTGCAGACTTGCAGTTTGTATAATTATTAGTTTACATGTAATATTTCTCAAGTTTTTTTTTTCTGTTAATTGATGGATATGGTTTCTGGTGAGAGGATTTAAAGACTACAGCTAATTTGAATTCATATGCTGACCCCAAATAATTGACCATAAAGCTGATTTAAGTTGAATTGAATTGAGCATTTTGTATTCATACACTGCTAAAATGTAAGTAAATTAAAGCAAAGGAAATTGAAAAAATTCTTAAAGCATTTAGAGAAACTGGGTGATAATAAAGATGACAGGCCTGATGAGGTTTCGGAGTCTCTGAAGATCGTCGGAGGATCTCGATAAGAGGAACCACGAAAGCTAGGGTTTTTCCTGAACCAGTAGCGGCATCGACGGCGACATCCTTAAAACTGCACAATAACGGGATTGTGGCAGCCTGAACTGGTGTGCAGAAGTGAAAACCAGCTCCCGTTAGAGCATCGAGAACGGGAGGTGACAGTGGTGGTTTCAGCTCAGAGAAGCGAACATTTGTCAGCACTCTATTGAGAGAATCCGTCGACGCCTCGGCCATGATTTGCGATCCACTGCAATTCAGTTGTATATTTTGAAGAAGGTATTAACAGCCGCTACTGGCATTTGGGTAATATGCACGATCTCATGAGTACTCGAGTAGGGTTTGATGGATGCGCATCGGGAAAAGCTTGGCTGTTTGTCAGCCTGCGCTGTTTTGAAGCTTCATGTACGTGACACGTCATGCATAGGGTAAAATTATATATTAATAAAAAGATAATAAATATTAGGAAAATTTGCGTATACTACCTTGTACTTTAGGCGGTTGTGACAATCGGTACCCGGCTTAGATTTCCATCGATCAGAAGATGAAAAATCTTAAATACCCCCATTATTATTTCGATTTAGAATTATTAAAATAATCCATCGAACAATGCAAACAGGAATTGATGTGCGCAATCCGGTCAGTCTTAGCTGTCAATGACCTTGCCTCTGAACTGAATCGCAGAGAACCTGAAACGGAGAAGATGAGGAAGCTCCGGGGGGAACCCGGTGTAAAGGCTCCGAAGCTCAAGTTAGATTTCTTCAAAGGCAAGATAAAACAAGATAGCGCAAAGTTTGCATACCATGTTCTTGGGGGGTAGAGAGCCTTTTATAACCATCTCGCGCACTCACTCCCAGGCTTCTGTCAGGTCGGGTATGATTACTTCCGTGCTTCTGCCAATTCGGGTGTCATCAGCTCTGTTGGGGCAGAACCGCCAATGCTCTTTTTGTCGGAGCCGTCTCTGTAACTGGAGATGGCGGTGGCAGGTGAGGGTGGTAGGTGGCCGTTGAAGTGCGACTGTCAAGCGTCAGATCCCAAGTCAGTCAGCTGCGCCGCCCCTAGATACAGACTCCTTCGGTGTCAGGTACGGTGTGGTTTGTCTAGTTCGGCGTTCTGGAGGCGAAGTGCTAGAGCAGTGTGCGAGGGGAGTTCGAGCTCTTAGTAGGGAGTTCGAGCTCTTAGTAGGGAGTTCGAGCTCTTAGTAGGGAGGTCGGGCTCCTCGTAGGGAGTTCGGGCTCCTCGAAGGGAGTTCGGTCTCCTCGAGGGGAGTTCGGACTGCTAGTTTCTTCCCTTTGGTGCTTGCGCCCTGGGTACGTTGCTTTAAGTGCCGAGCTATTTGTTTTTTGCCACGTGGCGTGATTGCGAGGTCGGGCCAAATCTTCCTTCATCAATTGCCCCCCACTCCTCATGCTAAGGGTCTTGCCCTAGCGCGGGGAGTTCGCAAAGTGTCAGGTAGATTTGCCATGTACTTTGAATCTTGGTTTTGAAGGCGCGAGGTGCGTTGTCAGGGTTCCTTGGGTTTCTTCGAGCGTCCAAAAGGTGGGAAGCGTGCCGGCCTGCCTAAACGCTGATAGATGTGACGGCGCGCGCTTTATTTCAAATTTTCAAAAAAGCGCGCCACTTGGGAGGCGCGATAGCAGGCGTCTTTTCAAATTTGAAAAAACGTGTCGCTGTCGCTTTTATTGAGGAAACGTGCGCTGGCGTTCCGTCAGTTTCGAAAAGACGTGCGCCAGCGCTCTGTCAGTTTCAGAAAGACGTGCGCCAATAACATCTCGGTCTCAGGGGATGTGCGGTCAGTGCAGCTGTGGGTCGTCGGATTGGCTTTGATCTAAGCCATCGCTTTTCGATCACTGCGAGTATAAATAGCGGGGGGGACCCCAGTCGCTATCACTTTTGTATTTCTCTCGAGCTCGCGTCCGAGTTTCAGCTCGCATCCAGTTCGCGTTCAAGGTCTTCTGTTCTTCCGAGCTCCTGTGGTCTACAGCCTTTTTCCGGGTGAGTATTTTCCTGGATCCCATTTCACTCCCCGATGTCTAGCTTGGATAGCTCAGATAGTCCTTCCAGCGGGTCTGATGCAGGTTCTACGAACCGAGTTGCATCCCCTGATAGCCCTA